CACTCCTCGGAAGGAAGGTTGGGCAATCCTACTTCCGTAGTGATACTGCCTCGGAAAACCCAAGGAGGGGTCGCTATGAGTTGGGGCCGACTCGACGGCACATAACAACAACAACAACAACAACAGTTGGGGATGCTAATGATGGCACTAATAACAGCTGTATGACTTTGACAACATATTAAAGGATTTAAGTTCCTTGTTCATAAATATAAGACAAAGGAGAGTATATGATTTTGTTTACTATTTTGAGGACTCGGATATCAGGGCTCTTCAACTGTAGCAATGGGACATTGTAAATGATTTCCAATTATTCTAAAAGCATAGTGAAAAATGTGTATTTATTTGTGACACAGCCCTCAATAAATGTACTCTGTGATCTCCAAAACCAAACCAAACTCACTGCCATAGATTTGATTCCAACTCATAGTGACCCCCAATTGGGTTTCCAAAGCTGTAAATCTTTATGGAAGCAGACTAATTCATCTTTCTTCTAAAGAGCAGCTGGTGGGTTTGAACCACCAACTTCTTGGTTAGCAGCCAAATGCCTTAACCACTACACTACCAGAGCTCCTTCTGTGATGTCGAGGAAGGCAAAAAATAATTTTATTGGTAAACAAAAGACTTGGCACCCTCTGAACTGGTTAAGATCTAAGTCCCTTCCAGACCAGAGATTCTATTATTATATCTATGTAACCTAATAGCAGTGGGCAGAGGACTCTAAGTGTGACCTTTTTTCTTAGTTTGAATTAAGTAAAAGATTGCTTACATGTTGTATGCTGACCACATATACCTCTCTCTGGGGCAGGGAGGAGGATCTTGCTTGGAAGGGTGCCAGGAGGTGGGGCCCATTTTGAGTTGGGTGCAGCAGCACTGGCAAGGCTGAGCCACATCTCCAGAACTGAGGTATGGCTTGCAGCCCCTGAGCCCAGTTTGCTGTGCCTACCGCTAGTGCATGCCCTGCGTGGCTACCCTGCAGGTCAGTGCCTGTGGGGATATGCTGGGATGCTATCTCAGGGATTCCTATTCTAACCAGGCTCTCTGGGGCTGCTCAGAGAGTGCCACTTAACCAGAGCTGTAACTGTGCCCCATTTGCAGGTGCAAATCCTAACTGCAGATGCAAGTTTGCAGACCCCAAGGCTACAGGCACTAATGGAGAGTCAGAGCAGCTTGCGTGAGGTTGCTTTGATTTATGTGTACGGAATATATACAAACAGGAGGTGGGGCAAGATGGCAGACCCAGAGCCTTTACAACAAAGACCTGAGAAACCAAGTGTTACACGTACGGATGATAATCCTAGAATCCTGACCTTCAAAGGAAAGGATAAAGAAGCAGATCAAGAGTTCCAGCAAGATGGCGGAATACGCAGAAAGACTGCACAGACCCTCTTCAACAAAGAAAAGGGGAACCAATTAACACAGATTCAGAAGATAACCCTGGACTCCTGAGCCATGAAGGGAAGGATATAGAAGTGGACTAAACTCCAACTAGCAGAAGAATTTGCATGAAAACACCAAGAAAGGAGACATACAGAGCTGCGGTCTGACAGTGATCCTGATGGCACAGATAGCTTGGATATTGCCGAGTGGTGTTAGGACCTAAGAATTAACCTAAAAATCAGCCCTGCTAGCCAGGGACTACACAGAGGACTACACTGGTGTGTGGTGAATAAAAGGTGAAACAGTGAAGAGGAAGGCGGACTGAGCTGTGGACTTTTGCTTGTCCGAAGGGCACAGCCATTTTGAATGTTTACGAGCAGTTTGACCATTTTAGATATTTAAAGTGACAGTGTTCTCCCATATTCCAGGGACTTAATAACAGGCTCTACTTGCCGGGAACCACAAGGACATCCCGGTCGCTGATGACTGGAAAGGTGCGACATTCCCCTTGTTACTCTTATAGCCCACACCCTCTTGGTGAATGGAGGTGCAGCCATCACTCACTCCCACCCACCTTCTAGGCTGGCAGGAATTCCATCCCAGTCTATGAGCTTGGATGGAGCCTGGGTACCGTGCCCCATCCTGCCCTGATACATATATTTTTCTTTTTTTTAGTTTGTTTTTGTCTGTTTTAAAACTATTATTATTACTACTTTTGCCCTTTTTATTTTTATTTTTTATTCTTCCCTTCCCAGGTTCTAGTTTTCAGCTTTTTTCTTTTCCCTGTTCCTGGTTCCAGTTTTCTTTTTTTCTTTCTTGTGGTTAACTCAGTTCCTTCTATATCTTTTTGCATATTTCCTATTTTTTTCTTCATTATTCTCCTCTCTATCTTTTCTCTCTTACTGCCCTCTCCCCTGATATTGCAGTTATTTTTTCCCCCCTTTATTCTTTTTTTTGGTTACTGTTCCTGTGTGATTACATAGTGTGTTTTTTGTCCATTGGCTTTTACTTTTTTGATGGTTATTCAATTGTAATTTTTGTCTAACTGAGTGGAAGACAGCAATAGTCCCCATATGACACAAGTACACCCACACCTCCTGCAGCTTCACTTATTGAGAGCCAATACTTCCTTCTCCACCAATGGGCCAATGATAAACAACCACCAAGAAGAGCCTGACTCACCCTTAGCTGCTCTTCCCAAACAGTTAGCAGAGATCTAAATACAATAATGTCACAATGTCTCGAAGACAACAGACGATCACAGTCCACACAAAGAAGCAAGATAAAGTGGTAGGAACAAGGGAGCAGGATACAGACCCAGAACACATCCATGAAGAAAAAGCAGCATTGGAATTCCTTAATAAAGAATTCAAAAGAATTATATTTAGGTATCTTCAAAGGATTGAGAGACAGATCAAGGAAAACACAGACAAAATCCTAGAACAATTCTGGAAGAAAATACAAGAACAAAATGAGAAAATAAATGAAAAATTAGAAATGATTCCAAATCTACAGATAGAAATCCAAAAGATTAATACTAAATTGTCAGAAATAGATAACATATTAAAAGGGCAAAGGAGTAGAATTAATGCAATGGAAGACAGAATTAATGAGATTGAAGACAAATACCTGAATACTTCTTTGGAAAGGGATCAATCAGAAAAAAGATCAAAAAACGAATAAATAAATAAAGGAGAAGAACCACATGATCATATCAATTGATGCAGAAAGGCATTTGGTAAAATCCAACACCCATTCCTGATCAAAACTCTCAGCAACATAGGAACAGAAGGGACATTCCTCAACGTGATAAAGGGCAGGTTGGGCAATCCTACTTCGGCAGTGATAACTGCCTCGGAAACCCAAGGAGGGGTTGCTGTGAGTCGGGGCCGACTCAATGGCAAACAACAACAACAACAACATGCAAAACCAACAGCCACCATTATCCTCAATGGAGAGAGACTGAAACCATTCCTCTTGAGAACAGGAAGCAGACAAGATGCTCTCTATCACCAGTTAGTTCTATTCAACATTGTACTGGAAGTCCTAGCCAGGGCCATAAGGCAAGAAAGGGAAATCAAAGGCATCCAAATTGGTAAGGAAGAAATCAAACTATCCCTATTTGCTGATGATATGATCCTATACCTAGAAAACCCAAGAGACTCAGTCAAAAATCTACTGGAACTAATTGAGAGATTTAGGATCATGGCAGGATACAAGATCAACATCCAAAAATCAGTTGGATTCCTCTACACCAGCAAAGAGATTGCTGAAAAAGAAATAAGAAAATCAATACCATTTACAATGTTGTTGTTATGTGGCATTGAGTCGGACCTGACTCATAGCGACCCCTCCTTGGGTTTCCGAGACAGTATCACTACGGAAGTAGATTGCCCCATCTTCCTTCCCGAGGAGTGGCTGGTGGGTTTGAACTGCCAGCCTTCTGGTTAGCATTCAAGTACCTTAGGCACTACGCTACCAGAGCTCCCACCATTTACAATAGCTACCAAAAAAATGAAATGCTTGGGAATAAATCTTACAGGGGACACAAAAGACCTGTACAAAGAAAACTATAAAAAACTACTTCAAGAAACCATAAGAGATATACATAAATGGAAGAACATCCCATGCTCGTGGATAGGAAGATTGAACGTTGTGAAAATGTCATTTTTAACCAAAGCAATCTATACATTGAATGCAATCCCAATCCAGATCCCAGCAACGTTTTTTAAGGATATGGAAAGAACAATGCCTAAGGCGCTTGACTGCGAACCAGAAGGCTGGTGGTTCAAACCCACCAGCCACTTCTCAGGAGGAAGGTTGGGCAATCTATTTCCGTAGTGATACCACCTCGGAAGCCCAAGGAGGGGTCACTATGAGTTAGGTCTGACTCAACAGCATATAACAACAACAACTTTATATGGAAAGGAAAGAGACCTCAGAAAAGCAAAGCACTATTGAAAAAGAAGAACAAAGTAGGGGGTCTCACACTTCTGGATCAATCTCAAAACCTACTATACAGTCACAGTAGTAAATACTGCCTGGTATTGGTATGACTGACACATAAACCAATGGAATAGAACTGAGAACCCAGAAATAGATCCATCGACCTATAGTCAGTTGATCTTTGACAAAGGGGTAAAATCCATTAAATGGGGAAGAGAATATTTGTTTAATAAGTGGTGCTGGCAAAACTGGATATCCATTTGCAGAAAAATGAAACAAGATCTGTACCTCACACCATACACAAAAACTAA